GCTGAAGTTCTGTTAACTATTGCATTGCTCTTTTGTTTTCATATATGTACTATACATTATTTTTTTCCCCTTGGGTTCCTAGTGGAACATACGGCTTCAGTAGCACGCCTCCACTACACTCTGTTCTCTGCAAACTTTTGAACCTGGCTCCACAACTGCCCACAAGCTCTCATTTTTTCCTCACATGATCTCCTCCATGTCACCCTCACCTCAGACGACCAACTCGTCGTTTCCGGCCTGTGTTCTACTCGAGTGCCTGGAGCGTGATATCCCCTAATGGTCTTCTCGGTGTATGCCCAGTCCGATCCATCTCCACTTCCTTCTGAATGTTTGTTCAGAGATAAGTTCTTGGTTGGTTCATTGCCCAGCCAGAGTTCCTTGTTGCTTATTCTTATTATTCTGACCATCTGATCTTCAGTGTCAATATCGAATGAGCGTAGGGGGTAGCTGTTGATGAATGTGTGTAGTTTGTTGGAAATCCCTTTCGTACCGCATCAAGTTTCTGAACCATCACATGGCAGCACTGACTTGATTGACATTAGTGTTGAAAATCCGGATCTTGTTCTTTGTGCTGAGTGCAGAAGATCTCCACACTGGTTTCGGGCTAATGAACGCCCATCTTGCTGTCTTTTCGATCCTGGCTGGATTTGACATCCTCGTCTGTGCCGCTTGTAGTTGAAACGATGCTGCCTAGATAGGTGATAGAGGATACTTCCTTTAAGTTTCTTTCATTGATGGTGACTAAAACCTTTTGTTGGTGGTGGTGTTGGTTGGGTATCTTCATCACCTCTGTCTTCTCTACGTTCACTTGAAGTACCGTCTTCGCTGCCACACTTCTTCCGTCAACTTGTTAGTTCTCTCATGTAGATCGTCGAGTTTGTGCGACATTAGACACAAGTCATCGGCGGAATCCAAATCTTCTAGGATCTTTTCCCCGGTCAAACAGCATATGCCCCTCTTCTCGCTCCCCACTGTTTGTTGCATGATCCAGTTCACTACAATCATGAATATCATGGGTGATACTAGGCAGCCTTGTCTTATTTCTGTCTTCACTTCAAAAGCATCACTGAGCTTCCCATTGTGAATTACTTGGTATGTGGCATCTTCATATAGTTGTTGAATGAGGTTGATAAAAGTTTGTGGTATTCCGTAGTGTTGGAGCAACTGCCTGCCAAATTACTTCTCGGTCGACGCTGTCGAAGGCCTTTTCAGTAGTAGCTCAGCAAAATATGACACTACTAGAAAGACATTCGAGTCACAAAGACCGTATAACCTTTCACGTGTCCTAAGTTCATCTTCCTACTCATTATTAATAAAATTATTGCTTAATTTAGGAATCTAAAGTCATCGTTTCTAAATGCATTTTAAAATAAGAGCACGTTTTCTCTTAACCAATGACTGTCCGAAGTCGAAGAAAGGCTGTATACTGAAGGGAATCTCATAAAGCATAAGAGGCATACGTTTTCTCATTATTTAGTGTGAGAACAAAGTATTCCGGGTTCTAAATGTCATCAGTAGTCATAATTTTTAATCTGAATAAAATAATCCTTCAAGACGAAAACAATTCGACAAATATGTATGCTATATGAATTTTTAAAAAGGTATGAATGTGGTGCATTCAGTCCCATTGTTTTCCTGAAATAACGAATCAGATTGAACATTAGTTGTTAATTTTTCGTCTGTTAACATCTCAGTAATTTTAAGTATAAAGATTTTTAGTCTTACTTATCTTGATGGTGCTGCTTTTTCTGAGGTGGATGGTTTAACCGCAAAGTTTTTGTTACCTTTATAGACATCATCAGAACTGACTTCAACAGGAAGAGAGTTATCAGGATTTCGCCGTGAGTGATTCAGTATTCTGTCCTATACTTACAAATAATTGTCTTATCATTAACTACATAGATCTTATTTACTGTCTTTCTCTCTATTGTCTCTGTCCCTATAGCTGTTTATAATTTTTCCTATTGTTTGATAGATTGGGTCTATGTCTACTGCTTGTTGACCGATCTGAAACCCAAGCGACTAAGAATTCCCTGGTATTCATTGTGTTTCCTCTTTCCAGAGTCTCTAGATTTTCCAAGTAGAATTCATGTTCGCAATTGGCAAGTACATTGATGAAATGTCATGCCGTTTAATTGTCAACTCATGCTGACGTAGATGAAGGCTGAGAGAGTAATTATTTCGTCTAATTTGGTGGTCATTTTAATTGTTCTACTTGATTCAGTAAGTGATGTTCGGTCTGTATTCTTCGTCTGTTACATCGTTTTGTCTACATAATGCTAAGTGGAGAGGATTTTTCGATTTATGAGATGCATCAACTCAAAACTGCCTCAGCAGTCCTATTGTGAGGTGTGGTATGCTCTTTATGTATAGCAGAACAATCTATCTGATGACTTCCTTGGATGACTTCGCAGCTGGTGATGAATTAGACAGATATTTTCTGATGAATTCTCATGTGTAACTGTTCTTCTTTGGGACAGCCACCAAGTTCTTTTTTTCATTTTTTCTATGAAATGGTTGTACAACAGCTGGGATTATGCAGTTTATTCATTCGATCTGATTTCCACCCTGTTTATCTCATGGATGGGTGTGACGAAAGCAGAGATGAATAATATGAGGGCAGAGAAAGAAGGCTAATGATGAAGGTCAAAAAGACCTTCACAAGTGTAAGATGCAACTCTAGGGACTACCTCCAACCAGTTAGGGTTTCAGTTACCTCAGCTGCAGTACTGAATCGTTAGTGATATCCATTTTCACTTCAGTTTTTAACCGTTTTCATCGCGTTAAAAAATAATGAACAAGACAATGAGTTCGTTTATTTACTCCTAAGTGCATATTTTTATTCACTGGATAATTGCAAAGAGAAAATCAAACAACCTTTACGAATGATGTTTTCAAAATAGACATTTTTACATTTAATAATGTTAATCGAGATATCACATTTCGTGGTAAACATGCCAAACTGAAAGAGATGAGATTCACTTAGTCAGTCCTCGTTAAGCAGTCTTGAGCTGGTGTCGAGAGCTGCGCCTATGCAACACCAAATCTCGGAGACATTTAAATTCTGAATATTAGATCATCTAATAGTCGAGCTATAAACGTTTATCATAAAAGCAATGCACGGACTCGAACGATGTCGCAACTGACATCTAATGATTAAGAGTCAGAAGAGATTTATGAAACCGATTGAGCACGAGGTATCCGCTCCTTTTTAGTTCCACTGGTCACTTTTATTTCGATCGGATTTCATGTGTATGTGTGTGTATGTGTGAGTACGTTTGGCTCGTGATTATTCTCTCTAGTTTGGTCATTTGGCTGGCGAAGTAACTGTATATGCTCTTTGATAAGTTGTGTTATTTATTACCACTGAAAATAAGAGTGTGAAGTTTTGGCTAGGTTCTGATAAATAGAAAGTTAGGTTACTGTTCCACTCGAAGAAAGGTTTTTAAATTCTGACATTCAAATCCAAGTCTTCATAGGGTGTTGCATAAATAAGCTTCCTATCCTGGCCAAAAAATATTTGTCTTCAGGGTTTCTGCTAGGCAAGCAAGGCGGCTGATACGATTAGAAGGGATATGTACACTTTTGATAACGTGAAATCCATAGCTATGACTGAAAGAATAACGCAGTCATGGACCAAATGCGCAGTCTATTATTAGCTATGTAGTATCTGTTGTTTGTACTTTACCACAAGAAGTGATCTATGCCAAGACTTTATGTATCGTAAGAAGTATGCTGGTTTCAGATATTACTTTAATTTGAATTGCTGATAATCCTTGTTCGAAGCTTGATGAAATCTGGTTTGCCTACAGATTTCTTAGTCCTCGTAGTTAGTGATGTTATAGGTTGTAGTTTTTGATCATTGATTGAAAGCAATTGGCGGATGGGCTCCTGCGTGAATGCTTCAGTATTTCCAGTAACTTCATTTGGCAGTAATGGTAAATAGTCGCTAGCACTGGAATCTAAGATGCACATTCTGCCTTAGTTTGGACTCATCGGCTGGATGGGGCCTGGATTTGAGTGGGGACAACATCACTCTCTGGCACCCAGGCATATCCGGCTGACGAGTCTCAGCCAGGATGAAACACGTTACTTGTATTCACCTGATAGCCACTATCCATCACGGTTTATAGTGAAAACAGAGAGCCTTGGTCTAGCTACTGTCAAGAAAACAGCTGGCTTGAAAACTGACCAGTTTTTAAAACACAATAAAGATTACTTTTGCATAAACATTATAGATAAATTAAGTTCCACTTCAGAAAGGTAGGCGACATACCGAACGTTGTTCTGGTGTCGACAACAGTGTTTAACTTGAGCCATCTTTAAGTATATACAAAGAAAGCAAACAACAAACACACTAGACCATCTACAGTTAGCAAGTGTTTACTCAAGCAAACATTTAACTGATCAGACAAGATTTCAGTCGTTATTAAGTGTCCTGATAAACTTTGGATACTAGTTGGAGGATCAATCTATGTACTTCAGCGGCATGTCTTTTAAGAATACTTGTCACAAATAGGTTATGATGCTTTTTCTGTGAAAATTGACAGGAGATAGAAAAAACAACTACCCAGGACATACTCAGCTATGTGAACCAAGGAAACTAGGTCAGACACTGTGAGATACTTGAAACCAATGCAGTTTTATCATAATGTCTTGTCATTCTTGTGTTCATACTATGGGCTTTAATCGGCTTCGTTACCTTCTATTGTTCTGATGAAAGCTAGTAAATGTTTTCTTTCAGTTTTTCCAGAGACTGGTATTTATCTTCCCCACCTTTTGAAGTCCATCGAACAAGCGAAGGTGAAAAACGTCTTTCTTCTAACTTCAAACGTCACATTACTTCTCAAGACTAGTCACAGACCGGTTTTAAGTTAATGAGCTGAAGGAAATATCTCCAAACTACTTCGTGAATTCTATGGCTTTCCTTGTGAGTTTCAGCAGGTTTATAGTTGAACCCCTATAAATACATGTAGATTGGTTCACAAGAACCTTTATCGATGTTCTTTGATGACTTCAACTCTCAAAAAATGATGAGTAAGTGTTCCAGTTCTCACCTTGGAGAGCGTTTTCGTCTGAGTTTGAAAATCCTCCATAGTGTGAGCTTACAACTGCACACAAACTGAAACTTCGGCTATAAACAAACTTTGGAATTCACTCATTTTTTCGAGGTCCTGTCATTTTCATGACGCAACTTAAAAAATCCTCCTGTTTCTGTTAGAGACATCTGTCTGCAAAACCTTGGAATTTGACGTTTGACTTCTCAAAAACAGTCTTCTTAGTGAACTTTTGGACCATAAATTACGGTTGGGAACTCTACACCATCTACAAAAGCTTGAACGGCTAGATAGAGTTATTCATCCTCGGACTATTATTCCAGTTTGCAAAAATATGATGTAAGAATGTGTTGTCAAACCTAGATGTAATTATATAATATAATTATACATAATTCACCTCGTTAACTTGGATTCCCTAAAAACAGGCATGTTCATGGTTTTGACATAAGTGACTCATCCCAGGCCACCATGTACTCTGAAGTAGAATGTTAGGTTAGAGTAAAGCTAAAGGTGACAGAACAATAATTCGGCAGGTGTTTGGTGTTATAGATTGTACCTCTCCGTCGTCAACTGGACCGCACTAACTTATCAACAATGGAGACTTACAAGCTATAACATCAAATCAAGACTATGCTCATCACACAAAGAATGGTTATCGTGACTTATTGACCTAGTGGATAACGCCCTGACGTCTCAAGTTGAAGGTCCCGAGTTCGGGCCCTGGTGGGGACAACATCACTTGCTGGAAGGCAGGAACATGCAGTTAACGAGTCTCGAATTGAACGAAACCTACATTCTAGATCCCACCGTCAGGCGCTAATCAATATAAGGACTGTGGCAGCTTTTCCATAAATGGCGCTTGGCTAGAGTTCTTCATATACTGAAGAACGATGATTGGAAAGTTAAGGTAAATTGACTACAGTGATGCAGATGGATAAACTTCTCGTCATTTCCAAAATTCAAAATATCTTTTCAGTACTCTTGCTCAGAAACAGCTTTCTTTTCTTAGTATGAGTATTTTGCTGACTCAGTTCATTTTTCTTGTGAGTGGAATTGAGAACTGTGAGCAGTTTCTGGTTCATAGCTCTTTTGTTTGTTTCCTCTGACTGTAAACTGTTCAGCGTGTGATCCATGAGTTTGTATCTAGTCGGCCTAGTGACTAATTAAAAGAGAAAAAAGTAAAACTCCCATAATTTGATAAAGGAATAACATGCATATGGTAACTGGTTGGGTTTTTAAAAAGTACTCACTGTCTGACTGTAAAAAAATGTTACTCACAAACACTTTGATAACTAATGTCTTCTCAAAGAAATGGGGAGGGAGGAACACTGTTATATAACTCAATATTAAAAGTTTAACATAACAGTTCAAGGTTCACTTTGAAACTTCGCAAAAACATAGGACAAAGATGAAGAAGATTCAGTCATTCTCCCCAGGAAGGACTAGACAATTTCATTGATCTTCACCCTTGGCATTCCCTATAGAATATCCACTTTGGATTCAATATATCTACTCTTTGTCGAGATTCTATACTTCAAATGCGATGTAATATATATTGCATATATAGTCCGGAACATATCTTCGAGGAGAGTAAGTCAGTTACCTGGAGTCTGCAGAAACACCTTGCTGACAAGTGCTCAAAAGCACGTAACCTATGTCTGGGGCTCTCTCCCGATTGCCTCCATTCAACTAATATACAACATAGGTTTCCTAAGTACTACGGGCAAGCCTAGTTGATGATGGTGCATAACACTGCATATTGTTGAAACAGCCTTATTCACACTGTTCCGTTAGGAAATAAATGATTTGTAAGCTCGACGGGCTTTCTAAGAACACCAAATAGCGGCTCAGCAATTTCATCCTAACTTATAGTCTTATGGACTATTGTCAAAAAATTGTATAGTTATGGAATGCAGGTCTTTACAACAACGTGCATTTTTATTCGAATAAGTCTTCATATCTACACTTAAAATTGTACTCAGCACCCACCATTTCAAACGATAGAAGATAGCCTTCATCAGGCATATCACCTATGGTTGATCAAAACATTGGAAATTGGCATTAATTGTGAGGAAAATCTCAGTGACAGAAGATATGAGTTACCAAGGGTTCTATCACCGTGGAAAGCAGTGGACAACGGCTTTCCCCTATACAAATAAGCTACTGAAAACGGTCATGTTTCAAAAGATAGAACCCAGAGAATAGCATTACAAAGAAAATAGTCGTGCAAATCGCTTGCAATGATCTGCATAACTATGAGATAAGTGAACAACCTCTTTCAATGATCTTCATGTGATAAAACTAAGGGGTCACTTTTGGCTATGACCTCGTTACTTTTTAAACCTGATGAGTAGAGTAGCCTTCAAATGGTTTCCTAAAGCCTTCATGAAGATATATTTTGAACTCCACACCCCAAATAGGCTTTACTTGAAATATTTGGTAAGCTAGGAGTTATTGCATTTTGAAAATGAAGCAGGTGTCCACAGGGTACAGATTAGGGTGGTCACAGAGTTCTGTAAGCTTTCCTACATAGAAGGACTAAGTCGTATTCATCTTACTTTTGTTCCTTACAGTTGTTTGAGATGAGATCTCGTATGTAATATAAAATACCGAGAGACTTGTCATATACCTTCCTCTCATCTACAGTTGTTCCTCCGAGAAGAAATCGAATCATCATAATTTCCACTAACTATAGTCTGGAAGTTAGTCTCCTGATTTATTGTCTGACGTAATCCCCTGTTATAGCACATAATGTACTCACCTTACATTGAACTCTACTGGCTCGAGTTTGGGCATCCACAGCGCTAGCACAATGACAGTATTTCATGAAAGCTACATAACCTAATTCGCTAACTCGTAAAGGCTGAAAATTTCAGTATTTGAAAATTAGGATTAGATAGGTACGGTTAGAGCAATTGGGTTGATTTAAGAAATTCATTATAGAGATTATCATCAGAAATGTTTATTTTCTCTCTATTTTGAGCCCTTCTAGTTAACATTACAATCTAGTTGCGCTTAGTTGCACGCTAAACTTCGTCACGCACATCTTATCTATCCATATACAGTGCTAAGTTTGTTGTGTTAATTCACTTCATTAAGGACTGCTGATGAAGCATAAAGATAGCGGCGGATAACATCCTATGGCAAGCACTGGAAACACTTTAACTCATGAAATTATTTTCATTTTCATTTTCTTGTATAATATTTTTTTCATACATGTGTAATCAACATTTAATCAGGCTGTATAAGCATGTTTTAACCGACTACAGAGAAAGGGGAGTACTTCAGACAAACAGATATTGATCGTAAGGTAATATAATAGGTAATAGGTAATACTATAGGTGTTCAGTCGTTACAACTGTCAGAAGCCAGAAATTGAACTAGTTGTTTTGTTCAACAAATGAATCGAAACAGCATCGATATACAAATAAACATCACTATAGTCATACTGACTAAAGTAAATCTGTCATTGATGCTTTAGTTGATTTGATTATCAATGCTCAATGATCATTTATCTTATTTGAAAGTGAACGTTGTAAAGCATAGTTGTAGTGACAAGTTTAAAATGGTAATATTGAATGCTAGCGGTGGAATATTGTAGGCGGGTTTGTTTTGATTCATACAGTTTGCATATGAATTGACAAAAGAGAGAAAAGATGAAGGGTTGACTTACGACTACGAAATGGTTGGACATCACTTAGGAGTAGACAACCTGAAGTCGGCAACTTTACAGATAACAGACTATAAATTTGTTTTTTGAGCACCCTAGTTGATCTTCACAGTTATTACTGACTATAGTCAACTAGCCAGTTGGCAAAAATATTTTCATAATGACTATCAGAATAAAATTGATTAATATGAGTGAGAAACATGGGCAGTATGGTAGAATGTAATTCCTTATTCGATTTGTTTATTTGATATTTAGTACACAGCGATTACAGTATTATTTACTTGATGACGTTTCGAGCATAAATTGTTGCTCATAATCATATCTCAAAGTAATCACACTACTTTCAACATTTCTGGTTTCTATAGTCCTGTCACTTCCTGTTACATGTGCTGGGTGTAAATTCGATGAACAAAGATTCAGTAATCAATCTCCGTCTCTGTCTCCACCTAATTATATTGGACTTAAGTACGGTGGTTTTATCCTCCCTTATATTGTGGTTGTGCGTTCGTAGCGTGCATCGCAATAGACGATTTTTTTCTAGATTATAGATCTTATTGAGGTCTATCATTCTATATTTAGCTAAATTCCCATGTTCCACTAATCTAACTGACCCTGACCAGCTAGTTTAACTTGTGTACTTGACCTTACAGTCACTGCATGAAATTTGGTAAATAAGATTATTTTGCTTGATCGGTTCTATTGAATCCTTAAAGCGACAAAGCTCATCTCTGAGTTAGTTTATAGGTTTAAACACCACCTTAATTCCAGCCTTGCTGAGGATCCTACGTAACGTTTCTGATATGCCTTTCTTTTATGATAACACGGCAGAGGTTTTGAACTGATTTCTACTCATGTTGTTGCTATTATTCGTATTCATATTACTGCCGTCAGTTTGCTTCTTATATTTCCTTACGAATTTGTTAGTAATTTCTGGAGGATAATTATTAATTGTTAATGCTTCTTTTATGTGTTTCAATTCCTTGTTTAAGTCCGTGAAGTGATGAGTTTTCTAGCTCTATTCTATAGACATCTGACTAAACCCGCCTTAACTGATATTGGATGAGATAACCTGAAGTCTGTATACCTGTCAGAATGTGTCGATTGTCCATAAACAGTAGACTGCAGTATCAAAACTATAGTCTGTTTTTCATTTTACTCTGCAATCCAACATATTTAGTTCTCCTTGTTAATTTTCTACCTCGTAAGTGGATTGGGTTGCACTTCTATCTTTAAAAGTAAAGTCAGATTACTTTTAGGTATGATAGTGAACAATTAATTTATGCTAGAAACGTTATCAAGGAAATAATACTGTATCATTGTGTCTCATATCAAATGAAGAAATCTTATGTGGAAGTATGTAATTGTCTGAAAACATAAGGGTCTGAAATCCAGGATATCAGGAATTCTCTTCGGATATGTACAACTAGAATTAGTGAACAATTAAATGAACTGTTACTCAATGGGATAAAAAAGATATAGTAATGTGTTAAGAGATCAGGTTATCACAGAAATCAAGTTTTTGGGAACAGATGATATCACTGAAAGTGATCTTGATTAGGTGTTCTATCACCTGATTGATTCTCAGAAGGAGTAGGCTCAGATAACAGCAAGACTTAGGATTTGCAACCAACAGAACAGGTTGCTGGGCTAAAAATAATCTTCCTAAACTTTTGAAAGTAAGCGAATCTGTTGTTAAACTTGGTTGCAGAGTTCTTCAAATCCTGTTCACTCACACAACATATGAAATAGAAAACTATTTGTTTCAGGAATTCAATTTACAGTTGAACTGATGATATCTAAAATAGGCTTTGCTGTATGTCAGAATTTTAACTAAACAAATTTACTTTGATCAAGTTAACTACTTTCAGAATGATGTTTATCTCTTATCACAATCCATGCTTCATTGATATAGAAGGTTAGGTGATCAGAATCACATCGTAAGCAAACTTTAATTCACTGGTACGGTTACATCGAGGGAAGAAATACTTCCTAATAGTTAACACTTTGTCAATGAATTCACATCAAAACTCATCATTTTAAGCAGTACAATATTGAGATGCCAATCCGTTGGTGAAAAGTAAGTTTCAAGTTGGTATTCACCATGAACTGACATCAGTTCGGAGATAACTGGAAACCTGGGAGGACTGGACAGCTGTTTCGCTCTAGTATGAGATCCCTCAGTAGTGCGCACCCATGACCCTGACGGGGATAGAACCCAGGACCTCCAGGTTCCGTGACTAGGACGTTATTATTGATTCAGATTCCTGGTGGGGTCATGGGTGCGCACTCCTAAGGAGTCCCATACTAGGATGAAACAACTGTCTAATGCTCCCAGGTTTCTGATGGTTCTCAAACTGATATAATTCCATGATGAACACCATCCTGAAATCGATAAATTCCCACAAACCTCCAAATTAAAAAGTAGGTTGGTAGAACAGTATTATGGCGTTCCGGATACAATTTATTGTCCATTTTCAAATCGTCACCTGACATGAATATGGACAATTACTCCTGTTCCAGGCGTAATCCAGTCAATAATGTTGTTGATGCATTTTATAAATCGAAATGAAATTGCAATCTACATGGTGTCTAAATTTTGCTCTGATATCAGTTGACTTAACATTTTCATCTTCAAGATACCAAGGAAATTATGACAGCAGTTATGACACACATACATAAACATATATAGTTGAGTTACATAGATTGGATGCATGGTTCGGTATAGATCTTTTTCGTCATTTTAGAGGCCAACAGCATGTAGACTAGGTGGTATACAGTGTTTCACTTTTTTGTATCAGAAAAATGGTTCAGTGTGACAGATGCACAGTACGATTGCCCCATATGAATATTACTTTGACCAACGGAAAAATTAAGCGAAACCGGAAGATTGTGATGTATGATATAATAGCTCATCATACCTTCCCTGAAAAATTTAACATGGCAGTGGAAAAATTCTTCTATTCGAAGGGAATGGGAATAAAGTGAGGATGTGCAACTCAGACAAACATATTTTGACAGATTAGATTATTATTTGACTTGGCAAAGATGTTTTGTTATAACAATTGTTTGATAGTAGCATTTATTCATCATGTTTATAGAGTGACATTAAAGGCCATCCTAGTAACTGCTCTGCCCTTTTTGATTGGGACGATATCATTTGAGTGACTTTTAAGGCCAACCCAGCAACCGCTGAAGTAGCCACTTACGTCCTTTTGTTTATGAAAAGTTACCTTTCTATTCGTAATACCGAGAAGTGATTGATTATTTTAGCAGTTTCTAGGGTGGTCTTTAAAGTCACTCAGTTTTTTAATAAAAGAAGCCTGATTGACTGTATCGGTGACAGCTAGGCTAGTTTTTGAAGCCATTCATTTTATAGGTTTTCCTACTAGTAATTACTTAATTAATTAATTAATGTATGCTCTGATACTCAGATGTTGGCCTCATTTAAAGGCATAGCACACGACTTACTCTCTGACTTTATTAGGTGAGACTTTAAAAGCCACCCTAGCAACTGCTGAGAAAACCAATCATTTCTCTTCCCATCAGGAATACTGAAAGCTGATTGGCTATTTCAGCATTTACTAGCTTAACCTTTAGTCACTCCTTTATTGACTTCGTTGAATGACTGTAATTTGCTGTGTTTATTGGTGAAATGTTCATGAAACAAAAATCAGTCGAAAAGTCCTTAAGGAATACGCCTTCTGTTTTTCTGTTATCAGAATAATTTAGTGCTGTTGGAAAGCAGCAGTGGTGATACATTTCACTGAGACTTGCAGCAATGCATCTTGACCTGACAGCATAAGACATTTGTATTACCATTTTCAGAATAATGAAGACTGATGTGTAAACTCCACAACTTCTACACATTTGTGTAAGAGGCGTTGACTCACACCTCACTTATGCGCTACTCACCAATTACTCTGATAGAAGGTAAAATAGTTTTGAATTTATAACCCCAATGACTGTTAGTCAAAATGCCTACATCACTAATCATGTAAAGATGCACAACGATAAAATGGATACAACTATCAAATTCTGATATATATTTACAATCAACAAGTGAAGTTCTTCAGCATTTAACAATAAAATTCTTAATTACGGAGGTAAATCATTTGTGAATAGTTAACAGTTTATTTCTAATTAAATGGTAGGCTGATTGTTACAAAACGATAATTTTTTGGTCATTACTGATAATTATTTGTCTTTACTGACTGAATGTGTAGTTGTTGCCATCCATCACTATGAAACAGCTTCTTATACATCATAATGGTCACCTGCAATACGATATAGAGGACGTTTGATTAAGATAGTACTCAAATTCATTACACACAGTAGTGAGTTCTGTTGATGGTATAATCTTCTCTATCATAAACTTCATGCTACTGATATCCATACGCAGGTGATACAAATTTTTGAGTTTTTTTTTGCTTCATTACACCAGGTGTCCTGTTCACCATTCAGTTGGGAGTAATCTCTGTAAATTTATTACCGACTAGTACAGATATTGCACTAGGGCGATATCGACCCAAACGGTGGGCATACTATGAAATACATAAATGTGGAGAGATTAAAGGCTACAGTTGTCTGGAACATCGTCACTGTCATGAACGTTATCTACGTAAAGATATGGTTTGTTTTGAGGTCTATCCATGCTTAAGTTCCTGTATATTTATAGCTCAGGTAAGTAGTTGGACTGAGTTTTCGTGATTATGTGTGTAACTTGTTCCGTTTTTCTTCCTATAGGTATTCTAGTCAGACAATATGAAACGTCGAGAGTTTTGGGATATAGGATTTCAGATCCAGTGACTAGTACGCTTAAATCTTCTATGAACTCTAATCACTATTCTCAATATGCTGAATAAAATTGCCATGATCTAGATAAAAAGCCCTAAATTTCTGAGACCTGTTGCAACCAATCGTTCTGTCCAGAATTTTCGGAAGAAAGCACATGAACCAACGTGTGAATATCAGATTCTCAATAGCGTAATTAGAAGACGAAGTTTATCTGAGCAATGTGATATATTTGCGCAATACATTTCGAACAATCTGATCACATATTTACTTGTCAAGTCAATATATATTAAACCGAGGACTGGGAGGGGGATAAATACAACAATTAACACAATAGGGGATTAAAATTAAGAAAGATGAGGACAAACAGGAAGTGACATAGTTGGTCCTAATCTTGGTAAGAAAACAAAGTTTATCAAGGTAGGTGTAGTGTAATAACAAACTGTTTTTGTACACATAAAGGTGGTTTAAATTTGTGTATGGCTATGGCTTCCGCAGATCTCAGAATACGTCTCTTACTGTTTCTATATAAGACTTTGAAAGCTGTTTGAACATTAACTTTGTGACCTGTTTCTATGATATGTTTAGCTATAGATGATGATCGTATCCCACCAGCTTTTATCACTGTTTTACACTCCATTTGTTTTTGAAGCCATTTAGGCACATGTTCTCCCACCCTCAACTGCATAACTCGATTACTCCTCCCTATGTATATGTGACCACACACACATGTAAATTGTTAAACACAATGGGATGTGACGTAATCATTGATGCAGTGTTTAGGTTTTTGGTGAAGCATGTGTTTGTTTTCTCCACAGTGGCAGGATACGTGAATCTTACCACTGTCCTCATCTTTCTTAAATTTAATCCCTATTGTGTTAATTGTTGTATTTATCCCTCCTCCTAGTCCTCGGTTTAATATATATTGACTTGACAAGTAAATGTGTGATCAGATTATTTAAAACATATTTCGCAAATACATCACATTGCTCAGATAAACTTCGTCTTCTAATTACGCTATCGAAATTCATAAAAGGGACTAACTGTTTCAAATATCAGATTCGTTGAAGAGAGGAAAATCAATACGATTCAGATCTGGGAAGGTCTTGAAATAGCCAAGGTAGTTGTAAATATATATAAACCATTGTACTTAGTATATTTTCTTGACGATGTAATACAATTTCTGTAATCATACCGCCTGAGCTGGAATTTGAAAGTTACTGTTCAAGCGTCCACACATATGCAATTTAGGTTGTATCAAATAGTCACTACGAGAATATAGCAAGTGAAAACAAAGTTAAAACCAGTGGCGTCGGGGATGGGATAATACAGTGGTGTCTTTTGGTTGAGGTTAGTTAAGGGGAAAATATACTGAAATACGTGTTATTTTGTGGAAGCAATCTATCAACTATATCGTTTATGTTTCTGTTCGGTTAAATTATTTTGATGAAATACTTTGAAAACCACTTGCAGCTTGGTCATTGGCAGCTGTCAGTGAGAAATTTGGTGAACTGCACATTTACACGTGTAATAAATGGTTATTTTCCGGGAGGACCGAAGCCACTTCAGTTGGATTAGAAAAGGCAACAGAAGAACCGGAAAACCAGTTAGAACCATTGGGTGATTTTCTTCCACCCACTTTCGAAAAATAAGCTCTATAACGAATTGCATTCTGCTCGTAAGTTATTATTAGAAAATACATCATTCATCAGGCAAGAATCTGTAAACATTACGTGTAATATTGAAGCGTACAGGGATAATATTCACTGTGGAAGACTAATTCGGAGTTATAAACCTACGTCGTTTCCTGTTAGGCTGTTCACCTACAATTTAACTGCTGATGTAAAAAGGAAAAGTGATGAAATCTCTGTAAAAGTTAATAAATCCCACCTATTTCTGCTAACTAAACAAAAAAGTCCCTAAAATTACATAGTCTCATTGAGAATTCAGTAAGCACCAAATATAAACAAACAAGTCAGAGTGTATACATTATTTGAATTTCAATATTTCACATTACTCAAACTAAAAATAAGTAGTTTGTCGACATTTTTAAATATTGCATTTATTTGTTGTTGTTTTTCTTCCTACTTTCAGTTGTATGACTATGAAAAGCTTGCAGAACAAGTTGAACAACTAATGTTGAGAGGGATTCCAGTCAATAATCATGATGATGCAGTGAATTTTGTTCGTGAAAAAACAAAAAAGTTGGCGCGTGAACTGAATATGTCATTACCACTGGGAGGAACATAACAGAATTTTGACAACTGAAACAATTTTCAGTAATATTATGACAGTAAAGATTACTGGAGAATAAAGAAACTTTGAAAATGACTGTTTCTAATGAATGAGGCGATTCATTGTAATCATTTCTTTTGATCATTGTGGTTATTATGAAGTCAGAGGTTTTGGTGGTATCCGACAACGGTGATTAGTTGGCAACACTTGGTGGTTATTTTCTCTTTGTGTGCTTTTTTCGCTTTGTACTGTTTTAATTTGTTCCTGTATTTTGTTACTTTGCTTTGTGTATTGACGTCTGATTCTTGTTACAGAGATCGAAAGAAATACATCTGCACATGGTGTTCCATATACCTACGATAAACAACCCAATATTACTCTACTGATGATGATGATGTACATTTTGTATTGGATTACTATCTGACTTCTTACACATGATCTAGCCAATGGGAGTATAGCAGTGAAGATATTTATTGAAGTATATTCTTCGCTGGGTAAAAATACACATAACGCTACCATTCTGTTTAGATTGGGTATAGAAATCCAAATCAGTTAGTTAAGACCACTCCATGTTCAAATAACCTTACTACCCATATATATATATATATATATATATATATATATATATATATATATATATATATATATATATATATGTGAGTCACACTTATTATTTAAGAAATTATGACATTATAGGGCTCCTCAGATGGAATTAAATGGAACCATTGTTTGAAAGTTAAATCCTAATCTAAATGAGCCACAATTCCCGGAACTCAGTACACTTCTACATAGTACTATGGATTACAGAGTTAACATGTCATTGAATATATTGCTTGAATGTGACATCTTGCTTCCACCTACCAAAATGCTTCAGTTCTGTCTTCATAATCGACACAGTCAATATTCCTACTTGAATAAGGGATGAATATGCTGTGTTGTACTTTCTCCTGTGAGAGAAGTAACTGGAAAATTAAAAAATCTCTGAACACAAATTTCAAATTTTTAGAACATTTCTCATTATTTACAGATAGTTTATTTTATTTGCATGCTAAGTAAGCTAAGGGTTGTTCTGGTCTTTAGTTTGCAACGTTTGTGCTGAAGAAGCGGTTATTTGTGTTCTAATGCATAACCATCATCTTCGAAATGACTGAAATTATCAAGGAGATTCCAGATGGTAAGAAGATTATGGATTACCTCCTGAATCCGATTCTTCTGTATACCTGAAACCCTTCAGTAACTAAAAGTGCTGTTCTCAACGTTCACTTAATTTTTCAGAAGCAAGTGACGAAAACAAAAAGCTCAGAAATACTTGTTTCGTTGGTAAGTTCTAATAGCTATGTGTGTACACTTTTCCTAAAGGTAAATATCACCGACGGAAGCTTATATCCAGGAATTGTTATGCTCCCTGTGTTGTGAAGTCATTTATTAGAGGTGTCGACTTTTGGTAAAGTATGCAGACTAAAGTTGGGAAGACAACGATAAGATAACGCTGCTTCATTTAATCTCTAGTTGAATTAAAAACGAAAAAACGACTGCCCATCTCATCATATTTAACCAGCTACTAGTTACCAATTCCAATCGGACAGGCGACAAAAACACCTTCGGACAAGATACTGATACCAAAAGTGACGTGAATCAATGTGCGCAGAAACTACTTGAAACGTAGACATAATCCTCTCTAGGTTATTGTTAACAATATACGACGACAGTAATGAGGCTTTAGGAAGGCAAGGTATTAAAGTTGCAGTTCAGGAGAACATTCACACTGATGGATTGAACCCAGTTTGCAATACAACTTGTTTACAAATTCAGTGTAAAGCAGGTTATTATGGTACTCATTTGATTGCCAGTTATCTTATTTTGTGGAACATATCCTGAGCATGTGGTTGGTGTAACCAAAACTTGTCAGTAGAGTCACCATGCATGACCTGGATATTGGATATCAGTTCAGTATCTCAAAATTTTTCACAATGGTAAAGAAAATAATAATTCCAAGTCTACTAAACTGCACGAATAATTTGCAGTCAAATATTTTTCATACACATATTCCCCTTTATTAACACCTATAGAAGAACTGTGACTAGAGCAGAATAACTCGGTGGAGTTGGATTGGACATACACTGAGAAGACTATTTGGGGGCATCATGCGCTAGGCCAGGACCTCGAGTGGAACTCGAATGGGAACCGACAAGTTGGGCGTCCGAGGCGAGGGTGACATGAGGACGTGCTACTGAAGCCCTATGTTCCACTAGGAATCCCAGGGACAAATAATAATGATAATTTTATTTCGCTGGTTCTTCGTTAGCTGTTTACAACTTGAAAAGTTTAAATATTGTGTGACATATTTCCCATTTTATTAACTTTTAAAGAGAAAGAAAAAACATTACGGTGAAGTAATATGGATCCATTTTATTATTTTGGCGGTTTCCGTCAGCTACTTACAGCCTACAATTTTTACAATAATAAACTACAATAAAACATTAACATACTTTACGTCAGTGAAATCAGTCAAAACGATATACCGAAGTAAAGAAACTGTCTAAATTACGATAAAATATCATATAATGTGGAATTTAAAACAAAAAACTCATTAGATTAGTAAGTAGCTAAGAAAAAAATTTGATAAAACATAATAAGTAAAACTCAATAGGTCAAACTTGGGGTTTAGTATTAAGTGAAAATCTAATCATAATGATGCAAGCAAATAAGTGGAAGGTTTAAAACTTTTGTCATCACCAGGAGAGTTGAAGATTGACGATAGATTCCTTTTGAACATATAAATCTGGTCTAAGGTGTTTTATTGCATTGGCTTTAGTGAAGTGAAGAAAATTTGAATTATTCTGTCTGTTGACTACTTTGAACAATTTCAAGGCGTCTATCTGATGTTCTATATCCACTAAGTACTTAATAATTACACTACTAAGGATACTTGCTCTTATCAATAGTACGATCCTCGGGATATTTTCAAAGTATCGAAGGTAAACCCTACTTCTTTTTCTTCCAATTCAACTGATTTGGCAGAAACAGATGAGTTGAATCACAAGATTGGAATCAACATGTGAAAAGTGTATGTCGTTGTTTGACTGTTCCAGCGATCAAGGATTATGAAACAGTAGGAAACAAGAAACGTCTCTGTCAGTGTAGTGCATAGTCTTCGAATTACCCTGATAGCAGAATCAATACCTTTAAAGTCGAGGTAAACAAAACCGACTGCTTACTGACAATTATTTTCCTGATTTTACTGCATTCTCTTCTACCATATTTGTTGATGAAGCTTTGTGGACATCCGTTCTCGTTAAGATACTTCTCAAAAGCAATAGTTTCCCTTAATGTTTTTCTAGTTAGAATATCCTTCTTACTCTAAGGAACAGTACCTTAACCAGTGCTCGTTTATAGTTGACCAAACAGAAACAATAAGTAAATTAAGATAAAAGTCATTTCATAGTCGTTTGCAATGAATAGATATGTACTATCAGTTCTAATTTGAATAGTGATGACCAGAAAGTTAAATTTACTATTGTTCTCATTTTTTTTCTATGAAGTTTATTTTCATGTACACTAATGTGCATTACAAATAGATGTGATGAATGGTGTAAATTCTCACAAACAATGAATGTGTCGTTTTGCGTATCTATTGTAAAATCTTATTTCATCACTTACAAATCCGAGTTTTGTCAGCGCAAGATTAACCGTAAAATTATTCGCTAATGGACTCCCCATTGACACTCCATAAAATTGGCGAAATAAGATGTTGCCAAACTGTAACTGAATATCTTTCTTTCCTACTAGAAGTTTCTTGAATTGTTGCTTTTGAGAGGAGATTGGTGTGCTTAGGTTTTGCTTGAACATGTAATTTGACCAGTTAGTGTCTTATCAATATACTAATTTTTCTATTTTCGTGTCCCTAAAATCTAAGCATACTTTATTAAAATGTTTTGCTTGCTGAAGGAGAGTAATCTACTTCAATGGTGCATAGATCTCAGTAGGAATGGATATCCGGATGTCCGTTTCAGTATAAATCAGGCCGAGAAATTAGAATACGATTGATGTCTAATAAATCACTGTTCTTGAGACAAGTTTCTAGGTGGAATTATCAGAGGAACTGTGTGTGACACAACACCTAAGACTTATTACCCTTTCAAGCTATATATTTTGAAAACAGAATATTCATAGGCATATTTCTGATTAAGTAACCTTGGAAAAACAAATCAATAAAGTGACTGCTAAATAAGACTTCTGTCAACAATTTGACACCAATATTTCTACTCAGTATATGATTTCCTGGCTTTTGAGAAGAATACTCTACAGTTATTGATCTTGGTGAGTAGTAGAGGAATCCAGGACGCGCGTTTCTTCCTAGTTGGAGCTCGTAGGAGGGTCGAACGATTCGACCCTGTGTAGCAATGGGAACTTACAAGTATCATAACAACAACTGATACCCGTTGCACAACAGGTAGCTATCATGCACCACTGGCTTAGTAAATAACGCCCTGGAGTTTGAAGCGATATATACTGGGTTGAAGTCTCAGTAGGAGCAAGATCACTCACTGGGGTGAAGGTAAATCCGGCTGGCGAGTCCCAAATAGGGCGAAACGCGAGTTCTTGATTCCTCTGCTGGTCACAAAGATCAGTATAACATCACAGATGTTCAGCATTACCGAGGCATCCATATAGGAAACAAAGGTTGAGTGATTCGCCCTGTATTGAAAAAGGGAAATTAGAAATACTATAACTACTCTTTATTTAGTTTAATTGTTACTCTTTTGATGTTAGGTGCTATTATTCACTGGGGAGGAAGTTTTGGTGCCCCAGTTTTCGAGATTGTTGGCACTCATCAGTCAGAAGTATCTATAACCTCGAGGATTTGTATTGACTTGAACTGATTACAGGGTCAGGCAACTGCTCAAGAAAATCATTTAAACCCCAACTGATTCCTTGTTGAACTGGATTAAACATAATCATTATTCAAAGAGGAAGGGCAACGAATGAAGCTGCCAGGTGGCCATTTCTGATCAAAATTTAACATGTCTCAGTGGTCATATCGCAAACTTGATCAATAAAGTTTTATGGGCATACAGTACATAAAACATCAAAGTGGAATCGTGTATAATCCCATGTGCTATTCGAATGCTGGTTTAAGTATGAATGAAATTTTCTCCACGTGAATAAATTTGGTCATTTCCAGGTTAATCGCTAGAAAATAAACAGTACGTTTAGTATATAAGCAGAAATACATCGCTAGATAAGGCCTTATCTTCCTATTCACCAGCCTGTTGCAGGTGAATTCCTGAGGTGATTATGATGTGACTGCGTAGGAAGACGATGGTAGTAGTATGAAACAACGTGAGATACCGGTTGGTGTTAACGATCAATCGGGTTTTCAGAAGTTTCGATACGCTGTTTGAT